ATACATTTAATTTTCTTTGAATAACACGATTAGGTACTTTAGAACATATTTCACATGGTAATTTTTCGTAGAAAAATAAGGATTTTACAATTAAGCTCCGCCTCTCGGCTTACGACGGATAGAAAAAATCGTCACAATTGAGATAGGGCGGGTGGGCGGGACTTATATTTTACCTTTTATTTCTTAATATACATAGCCATCTTTTCACAACAAAAAACTTAGAACATGGTTAAAATGTTTTTTTTTTGCAATTATGGGGCGGGGCCTAATCACAAAATCGATATTTCTTTATATCAATTTTCCGTTTTTAACATTTGTTAAGTTTCATGTGGTGAAAAGAAGTCTACACATATTAAAAGAGAAGGGAAAAATACAAGCCCACCCACCCACCCTATCTCAATTGGGATGATTTTTTTTATTCACCGTGAATCAAGGGATCGGACCTTAACTGCAAAATACTTATTTCATTACGAGAAATTGAAAACATCTTTTTGAGAACCGCATTTTTCAAAGGATACTAAGTATATTAAGAAAAAAAGGCAAAATATAAGTGTTGTTTTATGTTTTTGGTTTTTTTCCAAAAATTTGGAATCGGCCCAGTACTTTCGTAGATTATCTGTCTAATAAAAATCGGGACGGCAGACAGACGGAAAGTGGAGACTTATTTCTTCGTCTTCTAGGGGTCATGAAAAGTCGAGAAAACGTAAAAGTAGAGAATCGGCTGACGGAAATAACGATGTTTGAAAATTGTAATATTTTAGTTTTTTTTTTTTATAAACACTCGGCATATTAGAATTAAATTTAATTGATACCACAGCAAAGCACGTACTTTTGTTTACCTCCCCATAAAATATTATAACACAGATCTTAAAATTAATACGATTGTGATTTTTTTGTGAACCGCTTCATTACAAAAATTTTTTAGAAAATTAGAATTAGGCATTCTATTTAAAAAAGTACGTTGCATATTACGCCTCAAAAACAGAACACTCTGTATAGTTGAAAATAATTTTAGTGTATGCTACACGATTTCTATAGTCCTTGTTTTCCCGGGTTAGGTTGGTTAGAGCGCTTAATACCACCGGCACCTGAAGATTATCATCCCGGCAGGTTATGATTCATCAAAGGACAATTACATACAATATTGTAGTGTGTAAAAACATCTATAAAATTATTGTCCCTAATAATTATACTTTCGGGTGAAGCAGGTATCAATTTATAAAAGCACTTGTGGATAAACACTGAAAATAAATATAAATATTAATTTTTGAATACGCATGCTAACAATACATTTGTAGTACCTAATATGTAATTTATGATTAAAAATTCATTTAAAAACGTTATTAGAATAATAAAAAATGAATTTACTTCGTTGTGCATAGTTTAATCTCGTACTACAACAAAAAAATAATAATAATGAAGTATAATCAGAATCACTTATACAAATTATGGTGTTTAATTATAAATTAAAAAAGTTAATCTAGTCTACTTTTCACATTACTTGCTTCAGATTTACGATAAATGAACATAATTTACTCATTTATTTTCGTTTTACATTTTTTTTAGTATTTAATAATTTCATAAAAATGTGTTACGTATCTCAAAACGCTGTATAAATGTTGAAGTCACGTAAACGATCAGATTTGGCCGAATTGCGTAGTCCTTTTCACGACTATTTACATAGAATCATAAACGTGTAAAATAAGTCGGCTTTACTCGAGAAATAATTTATGATGAACTGCTTACTCTCGGAGAATACTTCCCCAATTCGAAGCTTCTTCGCACTGAGAGTATCTCTCGCAAGTAAACTCAGTTTGGCTTGTCCACTGGAGAGAATGTCGCAAGTGGACACGTACGTACCTTAATAACTCTTCTTTGGTATGGATTAAATTTTGAACGGAATCTGACCCAAATAAAACGTCATCGACGTAAAAACAATTCATAATGACTGGATAAGCTAATGGAAATTTTGTTTTTTCTTCTATGCCTAATTGTTATACGCATTTTATAGCTTGATATGATGACGGGGTCAAGCCGTAAGTAACAGTTTGTAATTTGTATGTCTGGACTGGGGTATCGGTAGTTTCGCGCCATAAAATCTTTGATAATTTTGATCATCTGGGTGGATTAAAATGCAGCGACACATTTTTGAAATATCGGCTGTCAAAACGTACTGGTGTTTCCGAAACTGAATAAGAATTGTAAAAAGATCAGGTTGGAGAATCGGACCTGCTAGCAAGTTATCATTCAAGCTAAGATTATTTGAACTTTTACAAGAGCCATCGAATACAACGCGGTGTCTGGTTGTTGTGCTGTTGAGATTTACTACGCAACTGTGTGGTAAATAAAAAGAGTTTTCAGGATTCTTCTATTCCCGATTTTTCGATTTTCCATTAATCATAAAATTTTTCGATTTTTTGGTTGTTTTATTTTTCGATTTGCGATTTTTCGATTTTCGTTTTTCCGCTTTTGTGGTTTTTCGATTTTTCTGTTTGTTTCAGTTTTTATGGTTCTGCAATTTGCAGCTTTTAGATTTCAATTTTGTTACTTTCCGATTTTCCACTTTTCGATTTTTTGATTTTTTTTCGATCGTCGTTTTTTCGATTTTTTGATTTTTCAATTTTTAGGCCTTGCAATTTTTTTACTTTTCGCTTTTTCGAGTATTTGTTTCATCGAATTTTCGATGTTTCGAGTTTTCGATTTTCAATTTTTCCATTTTCCGATTTTCGATTTTTCGATTTTCCATGTTTAGATATTTTTCGATTTTTTTTATTTTTCGATTGTTCTGTTCGTCAGTTTTGAGACTGTAATTTTTACTTTTCCACTTTTCTATTATTTTAGTTTCGGATTATTCGATTTTTTCATTTTTCGATTTCCGATTTCCGATTTTTCGGTTTTTTAATTTGTCGATTCTCGATATTCCGATTTTCGATTTTTCGATTTTCCATTCTTCGATTTTTCAAATTCCAGTTTTCGATTTTCCTTTTTTTGATTTTACTATTTTTCGATTTTTCTGTTCGTCAGTTTTTAGGCTTTGCAATTTGTTCACTTTTCGAATTTTTCGATTATTTTACTTTCCAGTTTTTTGATTTTTGAATTGTCGACTTTTAGAGTTTTCAATATTATGAATTTTCGAATTTTCGGTTTTCCTATTTTTCGATTTTTGATTTTTCCATTTTTCGGTTTTTTGATTTTTCAATTCTCGGTTTTTCAATCTTGCAAATTTTCGATTTTTCAAATTTGTGAATTTCCAGTTTTTCGATCGACCTACGTATTAGATTCATTGAATTTTCGATTTTCGGTTTTTCCATTTTTAGATTTTTGATTTTCCAGTTTTGTATTTTCAGATTTTCTGTTTTTCACGTCTTTGATTTATCAAATTTTCGATTTTTCGGCTTTTCGATTTTTCGATATTTGATTTTCGAATTTTCGATTTTTCAGCTTTTAGACTTCATTTTTTTTATTTTTCGATTTTCCATATTTTCGAGTTTCAATTTTCAGATTTTTGATTTTTCGATTTTCTTTTTAAATTTTTAAATTTTTCGGTTTTGATTTTTCGAATTTTTGATTTTTAATTTTTCCATTCTTCGGTTTTTAGACTTCAATTTTCTTTCTTTTAAATTTTTCGATATTCTATTTTCCGCTTTTCAGAATTTTCGATTTTCAGTTTTCAGACTTTCGATCATTAGAATTTTGGATTTTTCAGTTTTATGATTTTTCGATTTTTAGAAAATTTGAGTAGTCGAATTTTCAATTTGTCCATTGTCGATTTTTAGAATTTTCGGATTTTCAATTTTTCCATTCTCAACTGTTAGACTTCAATTTTGTTACTTTCCGATTTTTTGGTTTTCGATTTTCCAATTTTCAGAATTTCCAAGTTTCTTTATTCACATTTTCGATTTTAGATTTTTCGAATTTTTATTTTTCCAATTTTTTGCTTTTTCGATTTTTCTGTTCGTTTCAGTTTTTAGGCTTTGCAATTTTTTTTACTTTATATATTTTGATTATTTTAATTTCCGATTTTTTTTATTTTTGTTTTTGATTTTTTTAATTTTCAATATTACAAATTTTTGACTTTTCGATTTTTTGGCTTTCCCGTTTTTCAATTTTCGATTTTTCGATTTTTGAGGTTTGTGAATTTCCACTTTTCGATCGACCTAGGTTTTTGATTTGTATTTTTCGATTTTCTGTTTTTTGCGTTAGTGAATTTCAGTTTTTCCGATTTTTGATTTTGCGCATATTTGATTAATCAAATTTTCGAAAAAGTTACCATGCTTACAAAAACTTCAAAACATCTACAATATTTCAAAGTATTCAGTTTTGCTATTCTTGATTTCTTCAATAAAATAAATTGACTCAGTCATTAACTTGTTTGAGACACCTGTATAACCAAATCTAAAAAATATTAATGCAGTGATAAATCACAAGTATAAAACTCATCATATTTTATACATCTAAGATAGGATTTATTCTGCAAAATTTTGAGGTGACGTCAAAAATTTTTTAGAGGGGATAAGCAAATATATTTTAATTAAAAATGTATCATGTTTATCATGATTTTAAAACATCTGCAAGATTTCAAAGTATTCGATTTTGCAAATTCAAAATTAAATTGCAAAATATTGTTTTATAATTTTGAATTTTTTTTCCAAAAATCTGGACGTTTCGGATAAACTACATGTGTAGGACTATGTTACTGTATACAATTTAAAACCCATTTGCTATGCATAAATTTGAAGTGACGTCATCACATTATTGGTGGGGATAATTAGACAAATTTAATAATTTTGCGACATTTATGAAAAAAATATCAGTGTTACTGATCGTTTCAGGGTGGGGGGATGGTAAGAATGCTACCTGCGGTAGACGGGGAAACAACCCCGATTCTTAGTACTCAACAAATATCAAATCCTACTTTAGTATATAAAGATCGTGAATGGATATTTTTGTTTGAAAAAACTCACTTGCAACATACGCGTAACATGCGCACATTGTTTTAGCTGGGAAAATAGAAATAAATCACCAATACATCATCTACTGTCGCTGGGAGTGTGTGGTCACTTGGTGGTTAACGTTTTATTCACCTTGTTCTTGCTGAGTATTTCGGGAACGAACTACCCTGGAGGAACTGCAATTTCACACTTACATCGCTTAGCAAAAGACGACCACAACGTAAGTGTACATATTGCTAATCTTGCAGCCCAGACTGGGGTTTCGCGATTTACTCAAGTGAATCCAAATTGGACGTACGTTTTAACTTTTTATTAAATCCGTGTGTTTGAAAATACAATTTTTAGATATAATAAGCAAGAACATTTAAAACCAGGCAGCCCCGAAATGTTTGAATACACTCATCTAATTACTGAAGCCAAAAGCAAATTCTCTCCAAACTTAAAACCATACACTGCAACTCATGATGTAATTGACAGTGTTGAAGCTTTTCATCAAATATCGTTCAACTATTTCTCTATTCCACCCATAAAAATTAAGACAAGACCAGTATTGTTTATCTTGAAAAGGAGGGATAATTATAAGGATTTTTTAAATTTGGGGAATTATACCGAAAATAGTTTTGCTGAAGACGATGATCCGGAATCACAGGAAGAGTTTAAATCGCACGAAATAGATACAAAAACTGAAAGTGAAGAGTTAGATAAGACAAATGAATATGAAGAGGAAAGAGCAGGTGTTGATTCCAAAGAAAAAGTGTATAAATCCAGGAATGATGTTAACATTTCGCAGACAAATCGTGGCGAAAATGAAGTAGCCGCGTCTAAGGAAAATAACAAAAATTCGGAAGTTTTAATAACTCCCGAAAAGGTGGAAACTAGTCAGAATGTTTCTAGTAAGAGTCCCGAGAAAAAACAGACGATAGAGATAGGAAAAAAGACGAAATATGGTACCGAAAAACGATCTCTGGATTATAATGTACGTCCGAAAGAAATTCCGAAAAAAGAAATTAAAAAAGTGGACACAAAGACATTAAATACGGACGATAAGAAGTTAACACCACAAGTAAAAAATGTTTTGAAACAAGACAAGAATATTACTGTTGAAAAGCAAACTGTTAAGAAAAACATAAAAAAAATAATTCAGAAATACAGAAGAAAAAAACAAGATGAAGGAGATGCAGACAATTTTGAACAAAAAGGTCTGCACACCAAAGACTCCATTAAAAAAATAATAGAAGAAGAAAAAGTAAAACAAGCCGAAGAGGAGATTGCAAAAATTCAGCAACAAATCTTTGACATTATTGAAACCAGTCCCAATATCATTAACAAAGACATAATTAAAGAAAAGTTGGACGAAACGATTAAAAACGAACTAAGCAATATTGTAAAAACAAGTAAAATAAGCGATCCTCCGCGAAAAAAAGCCTTAGAGGATAGAAAGAAGACGCGCGCATTTGAAGAGTCTTCTAAATGGGTTAAACCAAAGTTGCCACATTTGCATAAGTCGCTGGATGAAAAATCGAAATTTGATCAGGTTGATGCAAAAGCGGTTGATTTTTTTGAACCTTCAAAGAATCAACCAAAAAATGTAGCTGATGGCGAAAAAAATCGTGAGTCGATTATTAACGAAACTGAAGATGGCGAAGCCGTTACGGATGAATCGGACAGTAAAGATAAATTTAGTCAAATGTCTGAACGGTTTTTACAAGCTAGTAAAAAGATTTCCGATATAATGACGCTCATTGATGAAATTGTGGATACTATGGAAATATCGGAAGATAGTGAGGAATGATTGCAATATTTGTTTTCCTAAAAATGGATGCCGTTGTTTTGAGTTGTAAATAAATGTTTGTTTTCTTGTTGTGTTTGATGTTTTATTTAAAAGCTGCGCAGAAGTTTTAATTAAGTTTTATTGTTGAAACTAGTAGGTAACAGCTCATTGACTACATATAGTGTAAGTACTTTACTTTTTCGTTAAGTCGTAGAATGTTTGGAAAGATAAGCCAAGTCCTGCTAGAGTGACTATCACGGTAGCTTGATAGAGGAGCTTATCAAATAAGCCGCCTTTGAGATATACTGGAACGTTATCTTCAGCCTAGAACATAAAAAGGAAAATTTTAGTATTAAAAAGGAATGAATAAAATAACATAATTAAACAACTTGAAGAAAGTAAAAATAAAAATTAACTTATGTAATATTAAAACACAACTAGCTGCAAACTAAAACTTAAAATAACAAAATAAAACAAATTTTCATTCAGAATCAGAGGAAACTTTTAAATAATTTTCACTGCTAGAATTTAATTTAATTAATTTACACTATGGGGTTGAGCTCTCAATGGTACGGTGGAAGTACTTTTTTTAGGTTGCCGTTGAATTTTTTTTATAATTTGCTCCTGAGGACTTACAGATGCGCACACCCCATTAAAACTTGAATTTTCAAATGACAATTTAAGAAGGGCTAACTGAAAAAAAAATCCGTCAAGATTTTTGGGAAAAAAAACATTTTCCAATTTATAATGTTATTTAAATGTTAAAACTTAGTCCCGAACTTATGATTTTTAAATACGCTATTGAGATTTTTCGGCTTTTCGTTTTCCCGAATTTTTCAATATTTCAATTTTGGATTTTTAAAATTTTTCCATTCTTCAAATTTTCGATTTCTCGATCTTTTTATTTTTCGATTTCTGAATTTTCATTTGTTTCAATCATACGATTTCTTAATTTTTGTCCTCTTCAATTTTGCGGTTTTTAAATATTTCGATTTTTCAAATTTTCACGTTTCTAAATTTTCAGTTTTCCGATTTCTGAAGTAACTTTTTTTATTTTTCTATTTCTCGAAGTTTCCATTCTAGGTTTTTCGATATCTCAGGTTTTTCGGTACTTCTACATACAGTATGTCCCCGGATTGAGTTCACAAGGGCAAAAAAAAAACTATTTTCTATTATACAAAAAAATTACATAGGAATAACATTTTTTGCTTAATTCAAAACGAATAAATCTGCAATTAAAATTTTAATATTATTTAAATTAATTTTAAGAGTACAGAGCAGGAATATTGAAGTTTTAATTGCAGATTTATTCGTTTTGAATTAAGCAAAAAATGTTATTCCTATGAATTTTTTTTGTAAAATAGAAAATACAGTTTTTTTTCCTCTTGTGAACTCAATCCGGGGACATACTGTATATTTCAATTTTTCGAATTTTTAAATTTCGATTTTCCAGTTTCTCTTAAAATTTCTCGATTTATCAATTTTTAATTTTTCTTTTCGGTTTCCGACTCCTCGATTTTTCGATGTCTCAGTTTTTGAATTTTTGGATGTTTCGATTTTTGGATTTCTCGGTTTTTAGATTTTTTTAAATTCTGTCGATTTTTCAGTTTTTCGAATTTTCATTTTTTGCTTTTTTTATGTTTGGATTTCTAGATTCATCAATTTTGCGATATTTTAATTGTTCAATGTTTTAAATTTTTGAATTTTTCAAATTTTGACGTTGCTAAATTTTGAGTTTTCCGATTTCTTAATCAATCTATTTTTGATTTTCCCACTTCTCAAAGTTTCGATTTCTGAATTTTCCATTTTTTAATTTCTCAATTGTTGGATATTTCTTTCAGTTTTGAGATTTTTCAATATTTCGATTCGCCGACTTCTGCATTTTTCAATTTTTTATTTTTGGATTTTCAGTTTTTCGTTTTTTAAACTTCGGATTTTTTAATTTTTCTAGTGTTTTATATTTCAATTTCTGAATTTTTCAACTTTTCAATATTTTAAATTTCTAGATTTTTCGATTTCTCGAGTTTCCAGTTCTATTTTTCAATTTTTACATTTTTAATTTTTCGATTTTTGAATTTTCCAATTTTTTAAATTTTCGAGTTTCGATTCCTCGATTGGTTGATTTTTTCAGTTTTTCGATTTTTAAATTTTAGATTTTCGAATTTTTATTTTTTTGATTGTTTCAGTTCTTCAGTATTTTTTAATTTTTCAGATTTTGACGTTTTCGAATTTCGCAATTAATCTATTTTTTTATTTTCCCATTTCTCCACTTTCCAAAGTTTTCATTTTTCAGTTCTTCGGTTCTTAAATTTTTCGATTTTTCAGGTTTTTGATTATTCAATTTTTCGACTTTTTGGTTTCTCAGTTTTTTAATTCCCCAATTTTGGGATATTTCGTCCAATTTCGTGATTTTTTAGTTTTTCGATTCTCCTATTTTTCAATTTTTCGATATTTGGGTTTTGGGATTTTTTTATATTTTGACTTTTCGAGTTCTGAATTTGTCGATTTCTCGACTTTTTACTTTTTCGATTTTAAACTGTTTTATGCTTCGATTTCTCAATTTCTCAACTTTTCGATATTTTAACTTTTCAATTTTTAAAATTTTAGGTTTTTAGATTTCTCCAGTTTTCAGTTCTTTTATATTTCAATTTCAAAATTTTCGATTTTCCAACTTTTTGATGTTTCGATTTTTCAATTAACTGATTGTTCAATTTCTCGATTTGAAAATTTTACATTTTCCAATTTTAATTGTTTTGATTTTTTCATGGTTGGATTTCTTGATTTTACAATTTTCCCATACTTAATAAATGTTTTATCAATGTTTTAAATTTTCGATTGTTCGATTTCTCGATTTTTCAGTTCTTCAATATTGATATTTATCAATTTTTTAATTTTGCCATCTTGGTTTTTCGGTTTTTAAAATTCTTCGACTTTTCGATTTCCCGATTGTTTAAGTTTCCGATTTCTCAACTTTTGCAACATTATTAGTTCTGGGAACTTTTCGATTTCTAGTTAAATTTTTCGATTTTAAAAATTTTTGATTCTTGAATAATTCAATTTTTCGGTTTTTCCATCACTGAGAACTTTTTAAGCATATCGTAGTATGGAAAATAAATAACCACTACGTATTCGGTATTCCGTCGTAATTACAAAACGAAAATCGTAAAATCAAGTTTTATACTTTTTTTTTAAAGAGCTAGATTGGTAGGATTATACTTATAGCCTTCGACCAATTTTTTATTGATCAAATAAAGTACCTCATTTAATAGATTTGCTTATACACAATGTACAGGGTCACACAAAAAAATTAATGAATCACTCAATTTATTTTATTGAATAAATCAAGAATTGCAAAAGTGAATACTTTGAAATCTAGCAAACATTTTATAGTTATTGTAAGCATGGTACAGTTTTGGAAATTTAATTCTACCCTATAAAATTTTATTTACAATAATGAGGCGGACAGTAGCACACCAGTTTACCCGAATTTGTGGAAGAACATTTAGTAGGCTCATTTTCGTTCGTGAGTAACCATGGGCCCTGTCCGGACCTGGATTATTCCGCTTTCTAACATCTGGAGATTAGCGGCACGCGACAACTTTAGGTTATAAATATCTCTTGCTATTGTACTACTGTCCGTCTCGTCATTGCCAACAAAATTTTATAGGGTAGAATGAAATTTCCAAAACTATAAATAGTTAATCAAAATAGTACTTGCTAAGATAAGACTGATTTTGGCAAATGATATACCCTCTAAAAAAATATAGGGCGGGTGGGCGGGGCTATTGCTTGCTGATAAAAGACTGTAGGAAAAAGTTAAATTGGTAAATGGAGTGTTGCTTACTTAAAAATGGTATTACTAAGGAACATGTAACAAAGAGATGAAGTTATACATATTGTCACAAATAGTACAACAAAAAAGTTAGGATTAGCGCTTTTTTATTAATAGAGTTGGCCGTGGTACTATTTAATCTTGTCCATGGAAGTTTTTAAAAAATGTGGTAAAATAGCAGACAAAACAGCGACAAAGGAACGTCATTTTCGTCAAAATTTTCAAGATTTGTTTATTCACTTTTACGTCAAATGAATGTTCAAGTCCAAATTGTATTTGTTACTTGTGTCATTCTATTTTGACTCGGTTTTCACACTTTAATAGAGTGGCTGGTTTTCAAATTTTAAGGTCTCCCAATAAGTTGTAATTAATGAATTAAACATTTAAAGGAATAATTGAATCATAAAATAATATTGGGAACAATCTACAATTAATATATACCTAGTAATAATCAAGTGACAATGTTTAAAAATTGTGAATAAAATAAAAACCTTAACAAGCCTACTATGAAAGTCTTGATGTTTTTTAATTTTGGGTTCAACTTTTTTCATTTGTTTTAACTGTAACGTACTTGCGAAATGAACACCTGACCTGTAATGAACCGAAAAGGTACATACCCCAAATTTCTTCTGAACTTCCTTTAGCCGTTGAAATTTGGGTGTTACAGTTTCTGCATTCTGTGGGGCTGTCCTACTAAAATGCCTGACTGCCATTTGTGCCAATACAAAGGTTCTCTAAAAAATAAAGTGATTACATAAACCCCTCCTTAAGTTTAACCAAAATGCGGAAAATGAAATGACATAAGGATTTACTTAAGAAAACCGACTTACTTTTGAATGATTCATGTTTTTGTGAAATTGTCTTAATCCTGAAACAAAATGGAACAGGGAACAACCCTATTTATGGGGTGATTATCCAAGTAGTAACAAAAAGTAAGTCAAAGCTACTTCGATTTCGACAAACACGCAGATATGACGGAATGCGGTGTTGCCACAGCGACTGAATGAAATATGAATACATTTAAGTGACAACGTGTTTTTTTTTCGATTAAGTGCCTCGCTGGTTGAATGTTGATCCATCGTAATTGTTTTTACTATTATTAATATCACAATTTTTTAAAGAAGTTGCTGGTTTCATCTTCGCTACGCGAGATTTTGGACAAAAAAATCTCTACTGTCACCGGAATTATGTTAAGTCTGGCAACATCACGACGAAAATAATAATGGGGCTTCTGGGATTAATCTACACTAGCGCCACCAGCGACTTGACACAAATGCTAGGAACGCAAAGGTCATGCAATAATATTTTGGGCGGCATATTTAACGCGACAAATGTAGAGGTTAGGTCAGATGCCGATAGATCAGAGCTGTCATTGGAAAAACCAAAAATACTTTAATCATGATAAATAAAATATTACAATTATATTTACAATTAAAATTAATTAATATAAAAAGCAAATATAACGCATAATGACAGTGTAAATTTAAATGCACGGAATTTTAAATGTTAAGGCTCTACCACACCTCAAGAAAATTTCTATTTTAAAAGATATGCAACTTGTAAAACACCCATGCTACCTCGTTACATTGATTAAATACATATAGATAGACCCATGCTATTGTTTGGAGCGAACAGGCCAACGGCCGGCGAACAAGAGATGGCGCACCAACAGTCGGCCGTCAAACGCCGGCGAAAAGCTTGGACACCAATCGCGCGCGTAGATAACCCAAATCGCAGCAACAATACATTTAATAAAGCTACCACTCGACAGAGGGCGACGAAAACAATGTGTAAAAATCTCATAGTAACCATTTATATAATTTGCAACGTTGCCAGATGAGCCTAGCACAACTTTGCCGTTATTTCTAGTCGATTAGATTTTATTTCGTTTAAAAGTTTCTGGTGAATAAATGGAATTATTATAATGAATAAACAATACAAACAAATTATTACTTGTTATTTTAAATACTTGTTAGTGTTGATGAAAACATAAATGGTAATTAAAGTTATTCTAAATACGGTCCGGTCCGGTAGCTCAAATTTTACAGTACGAGTGATATGTTTCAGGACGAGTAGGTAGCCGAGTCTTTAATTTCGAAACGAGTACTGCGAAAAGAGTTACCGGACGTATGTTGTTATGTATTTTATTTCATACTGTCAACATACTTTTTTATTCGATAAAATTATTATTATTTTGAGAAAAAATCCAAATCGAGTCACTTTTTCTGACATCGTTAGCAACCGCTCTTTGGTAAATGTTTTAATTTGTTTACTCGTGCAAATCAGCATCATATGTTTAAACACATAGTACTTATAACACTTTACAGGACTTATTGTTTTGTATAATCCGACTCGATGGACGAATGTTTTGTGCAATCCGTCTCGAAGGACCAATGTTTGTGCAACTCGGCTCGTCCTACCAGTATTTTTTGTAATCTCGTTGATACGACAATGTGATACCGAATTGTACTTTGATATTGCTCCAAGGACCTTTGTTTTCTTGCGTGCGAGATAATAGACAGCGTTCGGTTTCGATGTTTAATACAGGACGGTTACAGAAGTACTAAATTTACATTTGTATTTACAATAACAGGTAAAGCAAAAGAGACCCAAAAGGGTCAGTGGCCGCTTCCGGAAATGGAAGACTTGTCCTTTTTGGCTCAATTTTATCGGACTTGTCCGTTTTTTTGATTTTACCGGAATAGTTCGATCCAGTAAAACGTCAAACTTGACATAGTATGAAGTAAAATAAATAAATTTTATGATGTAAATACAATTAAGTGTATCGATAATTCGCTACTGAAAATTTATTGAAATACAATTTGTGTTAAAAAAAGATTTTTGTGGTTTTATGGTTTATTAAATGTAATTAAAATAAATAATAACAAGAACTTGTATTATATATCAAAAACATTCATTGTAAATAAGAAAATTATGTAAATAAACCATAAAACCATACAAAATTTTCCTGCGACCTCTATTCAAAATCCCAGTTTACCAATAGGAATTAAGGCACAAAGATGTTTCACTGAATTTATTACCGATTTTTCAAGAAAAGTATGCTTATAAGCCTATAAGCGTCTAATGGGTTAAAACAACAAATAATAATCACAATTTATTTGTTTTATATGTTCATTACAATAATCCCATTTATTTACCAGAAACTTCTAAATGAAATAATATCTGGTTGACGAGAAATATCCGCAAATTTGTGTTAGGCTCATCTGGCAACGTTTTCGGTAGGTAGGTATCAATGGAATAATGCGATTAGGTATACTGACCGTTTTAAGGAGTGCTCGTCCAATAGTGCGTAAACTAAAAGATTTGGTAATTTTCTTGGAAGAGTTTGTTTCTTCAATGAAAATTTATGGTTTTTAATTCTTCGGCCGCTTGAAAGTCTCGCCATGTGAAAATAGATTATTTGATAACCTGTTTCGTAATAATTGTAAATACGAACAAAAGCATATTTGCATATTCTAAACAACTGGCCATATCGATTCCAAACTTGTACAGATATGTTTTTTATTGTTTCTGTTTTCAATGAAATAAATTTTATTTGCAAAATACTTAATGTCTAACGACATATCACGCATACATACTACCCCATTTACTACATTTTCAATCTGTGCATTTTTCGCTTCATTCGTAAGAGCCAAGTAAGAAGTATCAGTGAGACCGGCGGACTTTCAATAGCTCGTAAATGAAAAGATTTAGTAAAGTTTCCTAGAACAGTCTGTCTCTTCATAAAAAAATTTAGACATTTTTACTATGAAATATGGGTACAATACGCTATATTCCACTGTTTGTTTTCTTTGAGATACGACTAGTTCTTGTGCCGAAGTGAAACACCAAAAAGTCTAAAGTCCGGAAATCAGAGTGAATTTTAAAACACATAAAACGACTTCTTTATTTATTTAAATATTGTCCTGTAACGTCCTGTGACGTGGAATGGAGTTTCTTAATGTACAAAAGTATGTTAGATAATAACCGAAAAATTTTCTTGATTAAAACTAAAGGAAACACAATTATTACTTGGAATAAAAATAAAGAATATCAAGAACTTGTGCTATGTATTAAAAATATTTAATTTCAAATAAGTAAATTATGTTAATAAACCATAAAACCACAAAAATCTTTTTTTAACACAAATTATATTTCAATAAATTTTCAGTAGCGAATTATCGATATACTTAATTGTATTTACATCATAATAGTTATTTATTATACAAGCGGTTAAAGTGAATGTTTAATGAGCGGCCAGTTTAAGGCGAGAGCGGCGCATGCCGCGAGCGCCTTAAGACCACGAGTTACACATTCATTTTAACCGCGAGTGTAATACAAACTTTTATTCAATTTTGACAACCCCAAGTCCCAAATTGTGAAAAAATTGGTGATTCAAAGTTCACATTCGAGAAACGTCAGAATTGACAGCGACCAAATAAAAGTTTTATATGCGTAGAATTTAGGTTACAATATCAGGAGTGTGTGTGTAGTATGTGACTCTGGCGACGGTGTTTGTTTATTTTAAACAAACTAAAATTATCGAAAAATTGCAAAATCATGCAAGATTCCAACGGCAAAACTTGCTCCCAAAAAAGAGCAAATCAGAAAGTGTATCAAAAGTTCCTTAGATGGAAAGAGCAGCAAGGCATTGGAGAAATTACAGAAATAGTAACCATGGTTTTAAAACAGCAAAATAAAAATTTTATTTCGCTAGCGGTTTAAAAATTTTATGGTGCTACCGGATAAACCAAAGCTTTAGTGGCCTACTGACGGCAAAATAAACGTTTGTTTACATGTCAAAATTGAATAAAATTTATTTATTTTACTTTATACTATGTCAAGTTTGACGTTTTACTGGATCGAACGATTCCGGTAAAATGAAAAAAACGGACAAGTCCGATAAAATTGAGCCAAAAAGGACAAGTGTTCCATTTCCGGAAGCGGCCACTGACCCTTTTGGGTCTCTTTTGCTTTACCTGTTATTGTAAATACAAATGTAAATTTAGTACTTCTGTAACCGTCCTGTATGAAACATCGAAACCGAACGCTGTCTATTATCTCGCACGCAAGAAAACAAAGGTCCTTGGAGCAATATCAAAGTACAATTCGGTATCACATTGTCGTATCAACCAGATTACAAAAAATACTGGTAGGACGAGCCGAGTTGCACAAACATTGGTCCTTCGAGACGGATTGCACAAAACATTCGTCCATCGAGTCGGATTATACAAAACAATAAGTCCTGTAAAGTGTTATAAGTACTGTGTGTTTAAACATATGATGCTGATTTGCACGAATAAACAAATTAAAACATTTACCAAAGAGCGGTTGCTAACGATGTCAGAAAAAGTGACTCGATTTGGATTTTTTCTCAAAATAATAATAATTTTATCGAATAAAAAAGTATGTTGACAGTATGAAATAAAATACATAACAACATACGTCCGGTAACTCTTTTCGCAGTACTCGTTTCGAAATTAAAGACTCGGCTACCTACTCGTCCTGAAACATATCACTCGTACTGTAAAATTTGAGCTACCGGACCGGACCGTATTTAGAATAACTTTAATTACCATTTATGTTTTCATCAACACTAACAAGTATTTAAAATAACAAGTAATAATTTGTTTGTATTGTTTATTCATTATAATAATTCCATTTATTCACCAGAAACTTTTAAACGAAATAAAATCTAATCGACTAGAAATAACGGCAAAGTTGTGCTAGGCTCATCTGGCAACGTTGCAAATTATATAAATGGTTACTATGAGATTTTTACACATTGTTTTCGTCGTCCTCTGTCGAGTGGTAGCTTTATTAAATGTATTGTTGCTGCGATTTGGGTTATCTACGCGCGCGATTGGTGTCCAAGCTTTTCGCCGGCGTTTGACGGCCGACTGTTGGTGCGCCATCTCTTGTTCGCCGGCCGTTGGCCTGTTCGCTCCAAACAATAGCATGGGTCTATCTATATGTATTTAAT